TACATAAGATGCCACAGTGTAAAGCTCGACGTGCCTTACTGTGTACCATCGGCAACAGTGTTAACTATCCATTGCTTGTCATGTCGTCTCGTTCTATCGCAAAGAATCACCATTTGATGAGAGCGAGAGCAAAAACGGAAATGGATAGTTAACAGTGTGGCCGTGTGTATGTACATAAAAACAATACAATTCAACTCGAAATCTCAAAGACAAATGTCTCAATAACATGCGCTGAACTTTAAATGCCGCCGCTAACGAGCGCCCTTTCCACTTGCCCCATTACTCGCTGCCCCATTGTAGCAATGGCCCCATGAATCTGCCAATGGACCCGACTCATGATTTACAGGCACATAGGTAAACACTGGAACCTTATACAATTGTAATAGAAGCTATTTTAGAGCCACAAGTCTGGTCTGCTGAAGTCGGTCCTCGTCCCTAAAAGTCAGTATATCTGTCTTCCTTTAGCCAAAAGGTCAAGAGTACTACAAAGTAAATGAAATAAGTTTTAATTAGAGCTAATAAACAGTTGAATGGCAGGTAACAAGATAATGTAAAAGCGCTTTTTAAAAGCCTATTTTCAGAAATAAATCACTTTTACTGATGACTTTGATATAAATTGAATAGGATCATTTACTGATGAATACTGAATAGATAAAGTAGTTATTTCTTCTTCTTATTCGTTACGCTCTTGGCAGAGCGGTCGTGGTCACGTTGAGGAGTTGTTCACATCGGTTGTAGAGGCGGTACAATACAACTCTCCGCACGATCTCCCGCCATCTCTCTCTGTTGGCAGACTGTCTGGTGCAGTCACATACGCCGTCCCCCACCGCCGATTTCACTTAGTCGGTCCGGCGCATTGGTGACCTGCTGCGATCGGGTTCCTTCGACTTTTCCTGGTAGGTATATCACATCAGTGCTTTTCTTTAAAACACCACGTCTAAAATTGCCTGACAATGTAGTAAGACTTGAAAAGGAAAACTACAATGAAAAAATCTAAGAATAGGGCTCGATGTCGTTTGAACATTGCACAATCAAAATAGTTGCACCTTGGTAAGGTCCGGTGGCAATATCGAACTAAAGTTTACTATATTATTATCCAAAATCTTGTAGTTCCCTTGTTGTGTAGAGTTTGCCGTTCGACTCTATCCATTATACTTTATGCTTATAGAAGTCTTAGCAGTGGGTAGTAAATAAGAACCATTTACCACCTATATTGTACTTCCTAAAACATTTGATGCTACTTATTATTCCTAAAGCTAGTATTTGACAATACAACCCGGACTGGCTTTGACTTTTGTATGTAGGCTTAGTTGTAACTTGTAATACATTTTGTTGTCAATGTAGATAAGTATAATTGCACAGAAAATACTTAATCTTCAATAACAGATATAGTAAGTAGGTAAAGAAAAGACTTTCAGCAATACAATACATTTTTCGGATCTAAACGTTTGTCAAGTGCGTTACAATTGCAGAGAAAAACTTAAAACCAATAATAAGATAAAGTAGGATTTCAGAATAAGTCGATTATATCGATACATTTCCCGGCATCACTATAAACCAATGCAATACAGCAATGAAATAAATAGGTATGTCCAAATCCGCACCATTATTGTGTCAATTACTCGATTGAATCGCTCGGGTTGCGATCGTATCGATGCATCGGTATTTATCTAGATCTTTTCGACTATTGAAAATAAGCAATTACCGAGATGAATGTGTTTTATCGGTCCCTTTCATTGCTGAGTCTTTAAATAGGGCGATATTTTGTATTTCATCATCTTTAATCAAACAGCTTACTATGCCTTCACAACTACAGTTCGTTCGTTCGTTCGTTTCAGCCAAATGACGTCCACTGCTGGACAAAGGCCTCCCCCAAGGTTTTCCACAATGAACGGTCCTGCGCTGCCCGCTGTGATAACGCTCTACAAAACCGAAATTAGCCGATTGTCTCTTTCTAAAGGTCGATGTGCAATATTTATCGCCGGGTATTGTAGTCCCTTGTTTACTTATCTACCTCTACAACTAGTTCCATATTTAATTGATCATTATCTTTGTGTACTTATGTGAATTTTCAGCATATTATACTCTTTTACGCTTATACCATTTTAATACGCTTTTATTTCGGTCTATCACACAAATACTATCGTAGGCGTGTTCCCCTTTCATAAACCGGGATAAGTATTATTCTGTTTTCTGGTTCTCAAGCTATCTCAATTCATATTTCAGTTTTTCAAAAGTTCAGTGATTTAAATGTGGTCCTAATTAATTACAGACAGACTTTTAGTATAGATATGATATCATAGTTTGGATGTAGGTCATTGTAGGTATATTTAATTTTATTTATAATAAGTAGTAAGTTTAACTAAGTAAGAATAACTTCGTCAGCGCTGCCCGGATCAATGTTTTGTGTAGTAGTTATACTTGTCGTAGCAACTGTCGTAGGTTCAGCTGTAGTAGAGTCAACCGTAGTAGAGTCAACCATAGTAGAGTCAACCATAGTAGAGTCAGTCATTTGAGTGCTGTTCGTTGTAGTTGGCGTTGCTGCGTCATCGGTTGGACTCACATCAGCAACAGTCTCCGTGGTCGGTTCAACAGTACTTGCAGTAGTAGTTTTAATTGCATGTTTGAGCTTTTTTATTTCAGGGGGCCCGTGTTCTTCCATAATGTCGTCCAGTAGTTCTTCCATAAGCTCCACTTCATCTGGCTCTATCGCTTCCATTTCATGTTTCCATTCTTCGTAATCATCAACTTCGACTGGCTCTATGAATAGATAATCATTATTAATAGTTATTATGATTTAATTCTGCAAGTACATAACAATATAATTTACATAAGTACAACGAGAAAGGATAAAATTGAATCAATACAAAAGCATAAAGAGATAATCTAATAAGAGTTCATTCATATCGGCAATTTGAGATAATTGATGGGACCATCTTTAAATCTTAGGAAAAGCGTGCTAATGGAAGCAGACCTTCATTCCTGAACTTTTCGATGTGGAGCCAGGGGTATCCCCATCAGGTGACACAGATTCCTAATCGATTAAAAGAAAAGGGAAACCTACCCTCAATTTCCGTAGTATTCTCGCTACTAGGACTGGGACTATGACTCAGAATCATATTCTCCGCAGAGTCCTTGAACAGCCTGGCGATGCAGATGTGTGAGCAGATGACTTCGTCCCTGAACTTGTTAGAGGTGGGGCATCCCCGCCAGGTGACACTGTTTCTTATCGATCAAATGAAAAAGGAAACCTACCCTCAATTTCCGTAGTATTCTCGCTACTAGGACTGGGACTATGACTCAGAATCATATTCTCCGCAGAGTCCTTGAAGAGCCTGGCGATGCAGATGTGTGAGCAGATGACTTCGTCCCTGAACTTGTTGGAGGTGGGGCATCCCCGCCAGGTTGCGATCTCGCAACGGGAGCCAGGCTTGTAGTAGTACGCTATACGTGTCGGGGGGCCGCCACAGTCGCTACGGTTGAAGTTTCCGAGGCAGTAATCTGGGGGCACTGGGGAAAACCTTTTATTTTTATGGCGCAAGTACACTAAGCGGGAAATTGGCCGAGACTTAGTGTAAACACCATCTCGGTTACTTTCTCCTTTCCCCACCCGTGCGCGCCCATACTTTGGTGTGCGATTTAGCGCTTCGTCTCGGTCAATTTTCCGCATAGTGTACTTGCGCCATAAGATAGTTGCACCCAAAATTTTGATAGTAACGTTGGTTAGATAATTATGTACAACATTTCATTCGGGGTAAATTGGGTCTTAATATCCTTAGATGAGAAATGACTGACTACTCTTACTAACACCTACTTCTTACATAAGAAGGTACCTAAACTTTCATGATATTTTATTGCTCCTTAAAGTTTTCGGTCAACAAAAGGTTGGTAACAGATTACCTAGCTAGTTAAATGCCTCTTTTAAGGTCAAATCCATCTTTTTATTCCACAAAGTTGTACAGTAAAACAGAACATAATAGACAGACACAGTTTATATTGATTTCAAACAGCAACAATCACTCAAAACTTACCGGATTGAGCTATATCAATCAATGAGAGCATGAAAGCGAGCACACACGATCCGTGGAGAAAATCGGCCGCATCCATTGTGAGCAATTAGAACATTGGCTTTGATGCTATCGGTAAATGGAAAAGCTGTTTTATTGTGCAATTAGTGACCAATGGTGCAGAATGGCTTTTATTTGATGTGCAGTAAAATTTTCGTATGTTAAAGAGGAAATTGAATCTGTTTGATTGTACAATACTATTACTATGTATATTAGTTTAGATTAAATATATTTGGTCGGTTGATCTTATTTTATTTTTTTATTAATTAAATAAATAGAAATCTCCTTTGATTCATGAAAAAAGTAAAAGATGAGCACGCTCAAGCTAAAAATTAACATTTCAGAAACCTGGGGCTTATGCCTGTTTTCACCATCAATACCTAATTTTTAAGTGACCCCTATGGTATCAAAACTCCTGTTGTGTTGCCGTAGGGGTCACTTAAAAATTAGGGATTGATGGTGAAAACGGGCATTAGTGACTGAAAAGAAATTTACGTGCATGTGTGACACCAAAGCTATCTAAACACGACCCGTTTTAAAAAAAATCAAAAAGAATGCATCGGCCGGGAATCGAACCCGGGCCGCCCGCGTGGCAGGCGAGCATTCTACCACTGAACCACCGATGCTTGTCTATAAAGGACGAAATTTAGAATATGCTTATAGAAGAAAATTATGAAAATTTTCGGTTTTATACAGTTTTTGATTGAAAAATTATTTTACTCGATTGTACAAAAAAAAGAGTTACGTTTTTAAAATAATTATTTTGGACAACAAAATGGGCAAAAACATACTGTCACAAACTGAACTAGTGACATCTAGTATCTGGTTAAAGAATAAATAGTAAGTATGCTTTGCCTGATAGTTTAGAGGTAGTACATACTAATGATCATAGATGGCGCTTAGTGTACAAAAAAAAGTTGATACAGTCTCATCGTCTTTATTTTAAGAAATATTATAATAGCGATTCCTACTAATAAGATTACAAATAAATTATTATTAGCTTTAAATACATAGTTCAGTTCAACCTACTGCGTATTACAGTTCCTTGTCTTGGCACTGAGATCGTTTAATGCTAAGCCCCATTTAATCCTATTACATACTTGCATATAAATTCAATTTTAATAAGTCTCGCATTAAAATACCTAGTTTTAAATTAATTCAATTAGTTATTTCAATTTAATATTTATAGAGAAACCGAAATAAGTTTCAAAATTGTAGGCACCATTTCTTGGTATGTATAAGTTAACCTCTTATCTACTAGATGGCGCTATATATGAATAATAAATTACAAGAAATTGGAATTTGTTCACTTTCGAATATTTTGAAAGCATGTGAAAAGGATTTTAACGATGGCTAGATTACATTTTCGGTATTTTAGGGCTTCGAATGTGGGTCCCCATCGCCAGAACGACGACTCTTGTACTTTTTTACTTTCTTGTACAATATCGATGAAGTGATTGCCAAAAGGACCTGAAAAACAGAAAAAAAAAATTAAATGTAAAAAAGTAAATTGTTGATTTTACTAGAAATAAAAAAATTGGAACGGAACTATCAATAAAAGTGAAATTTATTTAGTATCTTAGAGACAATCAAATGAGAACAATTTAATGTGTGTTTTCAAAGTATTGTTTTGTTGTTATTTATTTATTCGATAAATAACATGTTGTCTCGAAGTGGTGGTAGGGCAAGCTATATTTGGGGCGTGTATAAGTGCCCTGGAATGGGCCCATGTATACAGATTTTTTTTAATTTGAATTTGACAATAACATCCTACCTAGTCTCTATATTAGGGATGTTATGGATATGTAGTTTCGGTTATGGATACGGTTACGGATATAGGAATAATATTATACCGGTTACGGTTACGGATTTTTTTTCATTTCGGATATCCGAACGTTTCGGTTACGGTTACGGATATCCATAACATGCCTGCTCTATATCCTACAATATTATGTTTGTCACCTTACCTCAAAAACAATCAGCGACACAGTGATCGCAAGCACCAGCTTCGCTGACGCCCTAAAGCCCTCCAACACCTGTTCCTTGCATCCAATATCGTAGTACGTCTTCTTGGCCTTACAGAACTCCCGCTCCCTCTCCTGGACCAGCTCGGAGCGATCAGGGTCGTACTTGGGGCAGCAGGCGATGGGAATATTTGGGGGGAAGTAATCAGGCAGGTTTGAGGAGCGGTAGTCGCCGGGGCCGTTCACGCCGCAGCAGTTTAGCTGTAGAAGATTTAGGGTTCAATATAAAACACTTGGAGGGCCGTAAGCACCTATCAAGTAGGCAAGTGTGTGTGTGTGTCTGCGTGATTGGCTGAATGTTATTATCTAGAAAATGCTACGAAGTGGACTGTATATAAAACTTTATCACTATCGGAACTGATGGAAATAGGAGCATTTGTATCAGACCTGTTCCCCAAAGGTAATGTACTTATTCACTGCTTATAAAAATAAAAATAAAACTACCAAAATCTTCTTCTACACATAAAACCTAGGGGGACCGTGTTCTGGTAACCAGTTTCATAATTCATAATTCATAATTCTTTATTGCTTCATTTGGTGAGAAGGTCTTAAGCTAATACATACGTAAGTATACATCCTCAAATGAACCCTGACAGGGTATTACAATATTTAGTTATTATTAAAATTATATCACTAAAATTTAAGAAGAAATACTAAAAATAAATTATGCATGCTTAAAAATTTCATAATCCAATTCATAACATTTAAATTCCAGTTCATTATTTAATGTCAATACTAATAATCATGTTAAAATTAATAATATGTTCAAAATAATAATATTAATAAAAATAGTATTACTCAATGGTTACAATTTGTCGTTATAATACTCCTTTAAGCAATAATATGCCTTACTTAATAACAATTCTTTTAATCTTTGTTCGAAGTTTTTACCTTGGAGGGTTTTGATTGAGTTGGGCAAGTGGTTATAGATTTTAATTGCCATAAATAGTGGACCATTGTTGTACAGTGTCAAACGGGATGGAGGCAGTACTAAATTATTTTCTCGTCGAGAGTTTTGTTTTCCAGGTAGGTCACCAATTTTTTTAAAATATTGGGGATATTTTTTCACTAGTCGCCCTAACTCAAAGATATACATACACGTCACAGTGAGAACCTTTAAGTGCACAAATATCTGCCTGCATGATTGTCTCGGAGCTGTGTGTGTTATGATCCTAAGGCAGCGTTTCTGCAGGATTAGTACGGTTTGTACGTTAGTAGCGTTGCCCCACAGTACCACTCCGTACCTTATCCAGGCTGCGGCATGACTATGATACGCGGTAAGTGCACACTCTACGTTTGTACCCTTTCTGAGTTCGCGCAGCGCATATGAGAATCGACTCAGTTTACCCACTAAAGTATCAACATGATTCTTCCAACTTAGAGTCGCGTCTATAGAGATACCCAGCAGCTTAAAGTCTTTGACTTCCTCGATGTTTTGTCCATCGTGAGTTAAATTAAAGGATATTCCCGATCTTTGATATGGCCGGAACTGCATCAATTTGGTTTTCTCAATATTTAGTGTTAAGCCTATATCTTTTAAATGTGATTTAATTTCATGAAGTGCTTCTGTTAATGTGTTATTCAGACTGCTCAAATTATCGTAACTGCAAGAGACCAAGAGTGTTGCATCGTCTGCAAATAGGACCACTTTGTGGCGTACCGCAGAGGGAAGGTTATTGATGTAAATTAAGAAAAGTAAACATCCGAGCACGCTTCCTTGTGGTATAGACCCTGATACTAGCTCTGCAGGAGAGCGAACCTGACTAATAACGCGCGTTGTTTCGTGATAATGTTGCACTTCAACAAGTTGCTTTCTTTGGCTTAAATATGAGGCGAGCCATTCTCTTGCTACCCCACGAATTCCGACGGATTGTAACTTTTGTAAGAGTACACTGTGAAGGACCCTGTCATAAGCTTTGGACAAATCCATAAAAATTGCTACGGCGCACATATTTTTATTTAGAATTTCGAGTACTTCTACAACAATATCAAATACAGCCGAAGTCGTCGAGCGGTTCTTGCGAAATCCATGTTGGTTTTTGTTGAAAACGTCATTTTTTTCTAAGAATTTATACATTCTTTGGCATATAATTTTCTCAAATAACTTTGATATTACTGAAAGGAGTGCGATGGGGCGGTAATTTGAAGGATCTGACTTATCGGCCTTTTTGAATATAGGTTTGATAACAGCTAGTTTAAGAGATTCTGGAAATTTACCCTCACTATAAGATTGGTTAATTAGCAATGTTAGGGGTTTTACAAATTCGTCTATACAGTGCACTAGGAGCGTAGCCGGAATCTCATCGTGGCCAAAAGTGTTATTTCGTTTTAAGCCAAGGATAGCTTTTTTTACCTCTATATTAGATACGCTGCCCAAGTAAAATGAGTTGAGCAAAGAGTTTGCACTGTAGTAGTGTGTTTGATTGTCAACAGGGTTTATAGATCTATAGTAGGTATTAAATATATTTGCAATCTCAGTTGGGCAGGTAGTAATGTTATTATTGACATTCAAAGTAATGTTTTCGTGTTTTTGTTTATTTAATTTTAATTTTTCGTTGACCATACTCCACATTGTTTTATATTTATTCTTAGAGGATTTTATTCTATGTATATTCGATTTTCTTTTTTCTGTACTTATAATTTTCTTTAGTATTTTACAATATAATTTTGTGTATGTTTTTAAAGACTCGTTTTCGAATTTAGTTAAGAGGTAGCGTAGGATTCGCTTATGATAGCAACTCTTTCTTATACCTTTAGTAATCCATTTTGTTTTTCGTGTATTTTTTATTATAATTGTTTTGTGCGGTATGTAACATACATACTTGTAGTTTATACGATTTATTACAAAGTAAAGCTAGAACATTTCTTAAAACGTTGTAAATAAGCATGACAGACAAAAAATGTCTTACAGCCACAACACATATCTTATTTAGATATCAGATTGCTTGTAAAGTTATGTGGATTACACAGCACAGATACGTGGGATTTACCGTCTGAAATCCAGTGGGTTTTCCTTTCTGAGTGCATCAGTCTATCACACTGGTCTGTCATTGCTTGAATCAGTGACTAATTATTTTTTGTGACTTATAATGACCAGAGACTTTGCTGAGATTATTTGGGAATAACTGGTCACATTAGCCCGACGGATTAGCAAGCTGAAGTGGCAATGGGCAGGGCACATAGTACGCAGAACTGACGGCCGATGGGGCAGCAAAGTTCTGGAATGGAGGCCGCGTACCGGAAAACGCAGCGTGGGACGTTCACCTACAAGGTGGACCGACGACATCGTGCTGGACGCAGGCCGCTACCAATCGATCAACGTGGAAAGCATTAGGGGAGGCCTATGTTCAGCAGTGGACGTCCTATGGCTGAAATGATGATGATGATGATGATGGTCACATTAATCGGCCTTGGCCGTGCCATGTGGTTACGGCAGAGTAGAACAGACCACGTCCACTCTTCCCTTAGATATCATTAAGAGGAGATTAAGTCAAAGTCAAANATTTAGAATTTCGAGTACTTCTACAACAATATCAAATACAGCCGAAGTCGTCGAGCGGTTCTTGCGAAATCCATGTTGGTTTTTGTTGAAAACGTCATTTTTTTCTAAGAATTTATACATTCTTTGGCATATAATTTTCTCAAATAACTTTGATATTACTGAAAGGAGTGCGATGGGGCGGTAATTTGAAGGATCTGACTTATCGGCCTTTTTGAATATAGGTTTGATAACAGCTAGTTTAAGAGATTCTGGAAATTTACCCTCACTATAAGATTGGTTAATTAGCAATGTTAGAAATATTGCGTATAAAAAAGTTCATCCCCAATTTTCCACCCTTAGGGGTGAAATATTTTCTTCAAATTCGCATGAAACCACCCTTTTGATAATACCTATTCAACAAAAAAATAATCGTTCAAATTGATTTATAATCGGCGGAGATATTGCGTATAAAAAAGTTCATCCCCAATTTTCCACCCTTGGGGGTTGTTTTTTCTATTATTAAATTTAAATGGGACCACCCTTGAGGTATTACCTATACGCCGAAAAAAGATTTGTTCAAATCGGTTCATAATTGGCGGAGTTATCGCGTAACAAACATAGAAAAAAAAAAAAAAAACATACGGGTCGAATTGAGAACCTCCTCCTTTTTTGAAGTCGGTTGAAAACAGGGTCATGCTCCAGCAGTGGAGACTCACTGACCCGATATCGGCCGTTTGGTGTAGTGGTTCGGAACGGACTACTATTCCGAGAGGTCCCGGGTTCGATTCCCGTCCGGGCAGAAATTGAAATGATGAATTTTAACTTCTGTGATGGGGCTGGGTGTGTTGTACTATAATGTATGTATTTACAAAAAAAAAAATAAGTAAAAGTATTTAAGTATGTTTATATCCGTTGTCTAGTACCCATAGTACAAGCTTTGCTTAGTTTGGGACTAGAAGCGTAGTGTAAAATGTCCAGGGATATTTAAAAAAATATTAAAAAATATATATACATAGTATATTTAATGAATTATTTACCTCGTGCTGCGTAGCCGCCCACAGAGCAGCATGGGTTGGGTTGTTCTCTCTGGCAAGCCTGAAGGATTGCTCCAGGTCCTTGGCCAGGTGCACCTCGTCTGCGTCCGTGACCTTGACTGCTGTGCCCAGCACCACCGCCTGGATTGCGGCTACTATCAGCAGGACTATTGCTGCCTGGAAAAAGAAATAGAGATGTTAAGCACTCAGAAACGTAGAAAAAGAAATTTAAAAAACCTTCTGCTTTTGGGGATGATAATCTGACACAAGTGTAACGTTATGGACTACGCAGAGACGTGTCCTAACGTTAATCTTAAATTAGAAATAAAATTAGCATAATAAAATAAAACTACGTAATAAATTAAAAATGTACTTAATTTAATAATATAAAACTTAACAATAACTCTTAATACTAATTTACTTAAAACTAAATCTTAATGCTACAAGAGAATTAAATTAACTAATATAATGAACCCTAAATTTAATCTCACACATAATTGGTTTTTAAATCTGCGCGGAGCGCACACGCATCCCTAAGGTGGANATATACATACACGTCACAGTGAGAACCTTTAAGTGCACAAATATCTGCCTGCATGATTGTCTCGGAGCTGTGTGTGTTATGATCCTAAGGCAGCGTTTCTGCAGGATTAGTACGGTTTGTACGTTAGTAGCGTTGCCCCACAGTACCACTCCGTACCTTATCCAGGCTGCGGCATGACTATGATACGCGGTAAGTGCACACTCTACGTTTGTACCCTTTCTGAGTTCGCGCAGCGCATATGAGAATCGACTCAGTTTACCCACTAAAGTATCAACATGATTCTTCCAACTTAGAGTCGCGTCTATAGAGATACCCAGCAGCTTAAAGTCTTTGACTTCCTCGATGTTTTGTCCATCGTGAGTTAAATTAAAGGATATTCCCGATCTTTGATATGGCCGGAACTGCATCAATTTGGTTTTCTCAATATTTAGTGTTAAGCCTATATCTTTTAAATGTGATTTAATTTCATGAAGTGCTTCTGTTAATGTGTTATTCAGACTGCTCAAATTATCGTAACTGCAAGAGACCAAGAGTGTTGCATCGTCTGCAAATAGGACCACTTTGTGGCGTACCGCAGAGGGAAGGTTATTGATGTAAATTAAGAAAAGTAAACATCCGAGCACGCTTCCTTGTGGTATAGACCCTGATACTAGCTCTGCAGGAGAGCGAACCTGACTAATAACGCGCGTTGTTTCGTGATAATGTTGCACTTCAACAAGTTGCTTTCTTTGGCTTAAATATGAGGCGAGCCATTCTCTTGCTACCCCACGAATTCCGACGGATTGTAACTTTTGTAAGAGTACACTGTGAAGGACCCTGTCATAAGCTTTGGACAAATCCATAAAAATTGCTACGGCGCACATATTTTTATTTAGAAAACAAAACTCGATTGTCAACTGTAGTATATACCTAATAAATAAATAAAATAAAAATAAAACAGGCAGCCTGCACTTGAAATTCATACTTGATGTCGCTTAAAACATTTTAGCCTGCACTTGAAATGCATACATTATTGTCACTTAAAACATTTATTCTGCATCATATTTTAATACGATGCGCTTAAAATATTTTGATATTCAACGGAAATTTTTGTTACTTGGTGGATGGATAGACATTTTTTCTCGAACTAATTTAACAGCCATCTGTTGCACCGCATCAGACATCATATTATATTATTGAAAATGTAAGTGATGAAATTTAAAACCTTTTTCTTTTACCGAAATTAGGAAAGCTAGTTCGTTAAGATAGATGACTGGCATTAAGTCCGCCTTCTGTACAGTATTCTGTGCAAGTGAGTTCTAAATAATAATAGGCAATATTTTCTGTAAATTGTCGGATAAGGTAATGCATTTTGGCCGCGCGTGCCCCCTGTGTCGCTGAAGCCATCGGTTTTGGACAAAACAGATATTATGTAACGTTTCTCCCAAACCCGTCCTCAAGATACAAATTAATATTCAAAATTAAGAGCTATAGCAAACCGTATGTTTTCGGTACTGAGTAACGGGTCCTCCGCCTAGTACCTACCAAATAAGATTGGTAATTCATTTATGGAAAAATGGTATTAAACTTTTTAATAAATTACCACAAACTGTTGTAGAATTGCCCATTCATAAATTTAAAGTACCTACATATTAAAAACAGCTTAATGAATAAGGGCTACTATAAAATTGATGATTATAATACAAAATAAAACTGTTTAGATTCTTTAAACTGCCTAGCTCGCATTAATGCTTATGTACGACTTTAGTGACTGAGTTTCTTGCGCTGCTTCTTCTCAGCACTGGCCCATTTATTGTCCTGAAGCAGTGGTAGGGTTAATACTGGGATGTCTAGAAACGCTTTTAAAAGCCTTTATTTACATTGCTAGCATCAAACGTAAAAGATTCTGCTTCCACTGCAGAAGAGAGGGCCATAAGGCCGACACTTTTGCATTGCACCAGAATGTCCTTTCTTGTTCTTCGTTACAATAATGTAGAGCGCGTGGTCACGTTGAGGCGTTGACGTTGCTTGTGAAGGCGTAGTCAGATACGCAGTTTCCTACTGTTTTGGCGAATGGGAACGGTTATTGACCTACCCAGAAATACCCGACAGTGTTCTCAAATTGGACATTCGTCCTCGGCTCAAGCTCACTCTTGAGTGCTTCGAAGGGAAAGGTGGATCTCAAGTTGACCGCCAAAAGCGCACTAGACACTGGTTTAATAGAATAATAATAATAATAAAATAATTCATTTGCAAGAACATGGTTACACCAATCGTGTTAATTTAGTTAATTCCAGCATATTCTGTCGCATGCGACGTGCAAAAGTTCTTGTTCTTAAAGTTATGTTTATTGTTGCTACATTTAGTCTTGTTTTTCATATACCATGACAGTAACAAGTAACAATACAATAAATACATGTCAGGAAACAAAATTTGAATTGCAAAAGTCAAAGAAATTTGAATTAATTGTAAATGTCTAATTAAGTTACATCACCGATGTCACATCATTCTATCATTTAAAAAGTCATTCACTGTATAATACATTTTAATTAACAAAAAGTCAAAAATTGTTCTTTTAAATTTGGTAAAAGTTAACATTTTTACATTGTTTGGTAATTTATTAAATATTCAGAAGAATATAGGACAATCGGCTTGGCCAATATCTCAATCCAAGCGGAAGTAAGACTAAAACTTTCAATAAAAATGGTTAATCTTCTAAGAGCTCCATTCAGGTCCCTATAAGCAATATAGAACTACAATTAAGTTAGCCTATTTATAACTTGTAGACTTGACTTACCATCGCGTTTAGTCTTGAGCCGATCTTTTTCGCCTCGTCTGCCACAGTGCGCCGCCAAGTTTCCTTGGGGCGACCACGTTTGCGTTAACTTGTTTAATTTTTTTTTTATCCACAACGAGGAAGCTCTTGGCCTGTATCTCACCTGATGGTAAGTGACGATCAGGCCGAATGTGGAAGCGAGCTTCACCCGAAATCCTCAACCACGGAAGAACTGGCTATCTTAACTCTAACTGCCGGAACACAATAATGCTGTTAACATAACTTGTAGAGCAGGAAGTAAAAATAAACTAAAATTTCGCAGTTGCTTGGCTCCTAAAACTTATGCATGCCATATACCAAATAATATTAAATACTTTAAAAAGCTATTTTGTGTCCTATTTGATTGTCCTGATATTATTCCGTCATAATATTTTAAAATACTATGAAANTTGAAACGGCGTCCAAAATGGCGTCCGCTACAAAATTAAAATTTGTCGTTGCTAAAAAGCAAGCCATTTTCGGTCGCATTAATGAAATCTTTACTGTTGCAAAGAATATTTCGATCTCAAAAGAAATAACTAAGTCTCAACAAGCATTTTTAGCGTCATGTTCAACTTTACCAAAATTGTATGATGAATTTAATTCGCTTTGCGATCAGCATAATCTTTTAGAGATGGAGTTGAATCCCGTAGCTGTTCCCAATTTTAGTGATTGGTCATCCTTTGAGGAGCTTTATTCATACATTTCACAAACGCGTACATCAATTGTTGAATGTCAGGCAAATACCGCACATACTTCATTAACAAAATCTGCAAANCATAAGTTAATGTAACATTTTCTATGCGACACTCAAGGTTTAAAATATCATCTGCAGTTAATGGAGTTGCTAAATTATCTATGAAATTGGTGAATTGGGTAAGTTTACCCTTAAATGCTGCTCTACTGCGTGAAAGTTGAACAATGTCGTTGGGAAAAAATTTGTCTTGTGACGTCATTTTGAAAAATTGTGTAAAATTTGGTTAAGAATTGTAAGTAAGTAAGATAGAGGGTTTGTTGTGAAATAATAAAAGGAACCAGCTCACTCTCCTTCAGAAGCTCGAAGTCGTCTTGGCGTGGTCTTGGTTGCACGTGGTGCACGTGCACGTTTTTCTTCCGGCGGCGCAATCGGCGGACGGCGGCGTCGAAAATTGCATGAAATATCCACGCATCGCCGTCGGGCGTCGCACGCAGGCACCACGTAGAGCAGCGATGGCGCTAAAATGGGTTCGGAACACCCACTATTTGGGAATCTCTAATAACTAAATATCAAGATAAACGTGCACTAGGCACCATGTATTTGAATAACATTTTGGACATTAAATTAACAAACAGTTCGCCATCTCAATTAAATGATTTTATAGAAAAACTTAACTCATCTTTTGCCGCGCTAAAACAATTAAATATCGATGATTTACCTGACTTCATCATAACGCATATCGCGTTAAAAAAGTTAGACTTACAAACTGTGCAACAATTCGAATCATCTATTCGTGACAAAAACATACCGGAGAGTTCAGATGTTATCAATTTCATCCGCCACCATATTAAAGTCTTAGAACGAACATCTTCGTTTTCGGTTCAACAGACACAACCGCGATCGCGCTATAATAATAATAACACTACTAAAAGAGTGTCTCATACCTTTGCCATAACAAATGACAACACATCGGGAAATGTTAAAGTAAATACGTGCATTTATTGTAAATCGGTTCAGCATTTTCGTCTTTATGAATGCACCGAGTTTAAGAAAATGAGCATCAAAGATAGATTCCAATTTGTGAAACAAAATCATTTGTGTGTTAATTGTTTAGGGTCAAGTCATAATACTTCAAAGTGCGGTTCTCAAAGCTTGTGTAAAATCTGTAATAAAAAACATCATTCTATGTTACATTTTGACACCCCGGTTACTTCGCAATCCACTCGCATTAATACAAACCAAATTACAACGCATTCACCACCTTTCGCGGCGCCTCCGCCGTCAGCGGCCCCGCCCGTAACCACCTCTGTGCAGCCGGAACGCTCTGTGTGCTTGCACTCAGAGAGCAGAAATAACAGGAGTAGCAGCGCGCGTTTATTTCCATACAAAAAATTTCGCCATTTCCTGAGGGGGACGAGGTAATGACATTTGTGTAACAGCTGATGGCGCGGAGAGACTATCGATATTTTTGTCGATGATAATCATTGCTCTATGGNGCAGCCGGAGCGCTCTGTGTGCTTGCACTCGCAGTCCAGTGACAATTCCGTCACATGTTTAGGCGCGTATCAGGACGAGACGGGCGTCGTATTGACAACCTCACATAAAAACAATTCTACGACAATACTACCTACCGCGCAAGTTTATGTACCTATTAATGGGAAACACGTAACTATCAGATGTTTAATTGACAGTGCATCGCAAAATAATATTGTAACGCTTTCATGTTGTAATCAATTGAACTTGAATATTCAACCGCTAATTAATTCGACTATTAAAACTGTAGGGTCGCTCGATACCTCTGTTTTAGGTTTTGTTTCGCTGACAATTAAGTCTCGCGTCTCTGACGCACAATATAATGTAAAATGCTTGGTAGTCGAACATATTACTGACTATCTACCTACTCGCGTTGTTAACGCAAGCATAATCGACGACTTTTCGGATATCCCACTCGCTGATGATTTATGGAATTTACCTGGCGATATTCACGCAATTNAATGATCCTCATTCTCGGCGCACCGTTGTTCCCACATTTATTGCTCGGTGGTAAGATTATACCTACTGTGACATCGTGCCCGGCTGACGGCCCGGTCATTGCCCCTCACGCGCTCGAAACTACTCTTGGCTATATTGTTGTGGGTGAAATGGTTAGCTCCGTCGAACCTGGCAGTGTAGCCTGGTCCTTCGGTCCTTTAATAAATGACAACTTGCATCAGTCTTTAACTAAATTTTGGGAGATTGAGGAGGTTAATAGTAGTGGCTGTGACGTCAGTCCGGACGACCGCGAGTGCGAACGCAAGTTCTTATCGACAGTGTCGCGCGATTCTTCTGGCCGTTTCATTGTTTCTTTGCCTTTTAAAGGGGATCCTAAAACATTAGGTAATTCGCATATTGGTGCTCAGCGCCGATTAGCTGCACTTGAGCGTAAATTCATCGCGCTGCCTACACTTCGTGAGGCGTATAATGAAGTAATTTCTGACTATTTAAAAAAGGGTTATTTATCTGAAATACCATACTCATCCGTGGCTTTGAGTGAGGGTTACTTCATCCCACATCACGCTGTAATTCGTCCCGATAGAACTACGACTAAAACGCGCATTGTTTTGGATGCCAGCGCCAAAACGGACACTGGCTTTTCGCTCAACGATTTACTCATGACTGGACCTAACTTGCAGGCTGATTTATTTACATTGCTATTAAGGTTTCGTCAATTTGAAATAGCCGTCACTGCTGACGTGCAACAAATGTACCTTCGCATACTTTTAGCAGATGATGATCGTAAATATCAAAAAATATTATACCGATTTAATGAAGACGAACTTGTTCGTATTTTCCAATTTAATTCGGTCGCATTCGGTCTTCGCTCGAGTCCGTACCTGGCTATGCGCACGATCCGACAATTGGCTCTTGAGGAACAGGATCGCTTCCCTCGCGCTGCAGAGGTCGCCACTCACGAAATGTACATGGACGATTTAACTTCAGGTTGCACTGTCCGCTTACTCGGTTTCGGAGATGCCAGTCTTAAGGCATATGGCTGTGTAATTTTTTTGCATGTAACGCATCCGAACGGTGACATTTCTATACAATTAGTATGTTCAAGGTCGAAAGTCGCTCCGCTCAAAACTATAACGCTCGCTAGGCTCGAATTGTGTGCCGCATTGCTTCTTTCTGAATTTATTAAACGAGTTCACGCCGCATTTGATAATCGCTACCCTATAAATGAAATATTCGCCTTTTCAGATTCCACTATCGCTCTGTCGTGGATTCATTCATCGCCGCACCGTTGGCAAATGTTTGTCGCCAACCGTGTTAGTAAAATACACGATAATTTGCCACCTGGCCGCTTTTTTCATATAAACGGATCTGAGAATCCCAGTGACTGTGTCTCGCGAGGTCTTTTACCTTCGCAATTAATCGCGCAATCATTATGGTGGCATGGCCCCTTATGGGCTCAATCTCCCATCGCCGATTGGCCGATCGTGCCCTTTGCATCTTCTCATCTTGATGATATACCTGAAATGAGACCGTCGGTTACTTTAACTGCTGTATCCGATGTAGACGCATCGCCGCACCCCCTTCTTGAGCTCGCATCCCGGGTCTCGTCCTGGAAAAAATTAAAACGCATTACTGTTTATGTCTTACGCTTTATAAAAAAGATACCTGATGATGCGAGGGGTTTGTTACGTATTTGTTTTAAGGGAAATTGAATAGGAAATGCGATGCGGGAATAGAATAACTGTGTGAGTTGCCGAGAAAGGAGTTTACCCGATATATTGAGATTATATGAGACTCATGCACTGACCTGGTAACAGCGACACCGGGCTCCCTTTCCCAGTTCCAGCACTCCTTGTGGCAATCCAATATCAGAGGGCGTCGTTCGAATAGCGGAAACACTGCACTTCGCACAAAATCACCAAACGATAGAATAAAATAGTTTTTTATAGCGGCGTAGATGCACACGTGAAAAATGGAGTCTGGGCAACGGGCAACTGTCTTTTTTCTTTCAAATGTTTGGTAGGCGGCACAACAGTTTACGCCGCGGAGAAATAGATGGCGTTAGACGCCAAGGAACTTTGGCGAATGGTCGGGAAGAGGCACGCATGTATACCAACAGTAGAACATGAGAACTCTTTGTTGCCAACATAAGCGCGCAAACAGGCTGACTTCGGTAAAATGATGTGACGTGAGGTGCCAAACTGCGGAAAATGGCGGAAGAAATACATGATTTAAAATGAATTATCATGAATAATATTAACAACTTATTTAGCTCTCAGTGTCTTGAGGCAACTTAAAAAAGTACATTCTGTGTTTTTATTATTATTTAGGCAGTTAAATACTGCACAGTATTTAGTACACCATTTTCTTTATTTTGTTCCATCATACACAAGAATACGCGTGCGTGAGTCAATGTTCGCTCGTATGTGAGGCCTTGTCGAATAGTATCCTAAACTCGCGGAGATGAACAGGCCACACAAGACGTGTGTGTTTGAACTTTGAAATTCCAAATTCAAGCGGATCGATTTTTTGCAAGTCACTGCAAACGGGATGTTCGTGTGGCGTACAAATAAACGGGACACACACCGTATCGCTTTTCTCAAGGCGAGGCGTTTACGTTACGGTAACCTGACTGCCTCGAGTTAATACGGTTACGATCCCTTTCCGGGTTGATAAGTGTGCTATGTCCTTAGTTTGAGAACCACTGCCTCTCAAAACTTTCAAGAACAAAATTGGCAATTCTTTCCCACGTATTATATTCAATGTAACAGTTTTGTTGGTCTGTCCAGATATTGTTTGGAGTTTATAAACTTTGAAGAAGATCTCAAGTTTAGAGTTTATTTGAAAAGATTCGAGTTTTGGATTGAAACTGAATGGAGCAAGAATAGTTTTATGTTTAGTATCATGTAAGAACAAAGTTTATTAATATCCTAGGCCCATAATATTAGTATAAATAAAACTATAATTATTTCAGTCACAAATTATTCATCATGAAAATCCAAGTGACATTAACAAAAAAGTATTTTTACAATTCAGTCACTGATAACACTTAGAAAAAAAAAATAGAGTACTGACTAATTTAGATAAGAAACCTATTACTTTCTTCCTTTCAGAAATAATCACACACCACCGCGATGTCAAAAAGTATAGTGCCATCTATTAGTCGCTCAAGACAAAACTTTGTTGTTTTGCATAAAGGTGAAATATGATCTCAAGCAGGGTTATGCGCTACATAATCTATACGAATATTATAAAGCTGAAGAGTTTGTTTGTTTGTTTACTTGAACGCGCTAATCTCAGGAACTACTGGTCCGATTTGAATAATTCTTTCGGTGTTAGAAAGCCTATTTATCGAGGCTAGGCTATAGGCTATATACCGTAACGTAGGAGTAATAGACGCAGAGCAAAAATGAAAAATGTTGCGAAAACGGGTTTTCACGCGTGCGAAGTCGCGGGCAGTTTGTTGCAAGCAATTTTGTGTCACAACAAACAAACTTGTTACTCTTGTCGTGTAACTAACGAGCTACCAACTTGTACGTAAACAGGAACAGAAAAAATAATGAAAACTACTCAAAGGGGTAACTTGGACGTGTAGAGAGCTTATACCCCTATCTACATGTTGGAAAAGATGAGCCATTTTACTTTAGTAAATAGGTAATTTGACTTATAATCCTAGTCTAGTTCTAAAATAAAGGAAACGGGACTATTGTAGGGTTAATACTGGGACGTGTAAAAGTGCTTTTTTAAAGCCTACTTACAGAAATAAATGAGTTTTAATGAGTTTTTTTTTAATTTCCACCTCTCGTTCCCACCACTGCAACTCCTGTGTAGCCAGGATCTTCAGCTTGACCGCCATAAAAACCCAACCAATGAAGGCCAAGTTTGTCCCGGTAAGTTAAACTGTCATTGGACCCGCAACAAAATTAATCAGAAGAACTTGAAGAGTTCGAAGTTAGGCCCATAAGTAAGGTACTTATTTGTTTCAAACTAAACCAAATCCACGCTAGCAAAGCCACGTGAATTGCCTATTCTTTAAAACCCCCAGCGACAGGTATTTAAACTTATAAGTGGGTCTTTCATGGATTAGCGAATAAAGGGTGAATGGAAAGCGGGATCGGATAATTCTTTGACATCCAAAATCCTCCAATCCGTCGGGATGTCATTAAAACGAATTCCCACTTTACCATCTTCCCACCTTCCCACCTCTTCATTGAAGTGGGTCACATTCATAGACCCGGTTTAAAAAGATAATGAGTTGGGCTATTTTTAGATTTAAAAGCCATTATGGATAGTTTTTAGCTTGAAATTGACTTATAAACATTACTATGAGGTCTCACAATGCGCGTGGACACACAGTGTAACGTTGCCGTTTGCTGTTTTTTCACAAATTAATATTTCTTCTCAATATTCTGATTTTGGATACCACTAGCGACATCTATTGGCGTGATTTAGAACTAATTTGCAATAGATGGCGCTTTTTGCTCAGTTAATTGAAATATACTTTGATGAAACATTTCCTAGTGTTTTTATATTGATTATTCTATTTTTCAAATAGAATATTTTCAGTGTTCTGGAAATTGTTTTCATCATGGTTTTATTAGTACAGNGCATCACCAACTTGTAACTGTAATAACTAAGACTACCTGGACATGAAGTTATTTATTTGAAATATATTGTTTTATATCCCAACTTAATATTATAAATGCGAAAGTAACTCTGTCTGTCTGTCTGTCTGTCTGTCTGTCTGTCTGTCTGTCTGTCTGTTACGCTTTCCCGCTTAAACCTCGCAACCGATTTTGATGAAATTTGGCATAGACATAGTTTGAGTCCCGGGAAAGAACATAGGATAGTTTTTATCCCGGTTTTTGAAACAGGGACGCGCGCGATAAAGTTTTTCTGTGACAGACAAAATTCCACGCGGGCGAAGCCGCGGGCGGAAAGCTAGTTTTAAATATTCGAACATAGGCCTCCTTTCAAATCCCTTAAAGTCTGATATACATAGATAGACTTTAAATCTTACTTAATTGTTCCGGATATTAAAAGCGAGATGGTTATTGAGTTACATAATTCCAAAGTACTATAAAACCGATTCTCAGAACAGATGTTAGAACTGTAATTGCCTGGTAATTTCATTTATTAAGTACTCCAAGAAAATGGAAGCGCTGACTTGGACTGATAATAATTGATTTTTAAAGTTAAAGAAACTTGAAATCGTTATTTACTTCTTTCAAGCTTAATTCTTTAAAAAAAATCAGTTTAATGTGTATTTCCATGTTATAGTGTATTTATTTAACGTAATTAAAACAACTTTTACTGGCGGTACGAAGTTCGCCAAGTCATCTTGTTTTGCGTAATTCGCAAATGAAGCTTTGGGACTGCTTTTTACATTTTAAAATCTGTATTCGTAGCGTCGCAGCATCGTAGCGTCGTAGCATTGTAGCGTCGTAGCATTGTGGCGTCGTAGCATCGTAGCGCGTAGCGTAACAAAACATAGCCATAATAAATACTCGTAGTCCTCGTAGCCGTAGTATGGCTACGGGCTGTAGCTTATACAGCTAGAATATTTTAGAAGTATGTTTTAACTAGCTTTCCGCCCGCGGCTTCGCCCGCGTGGAATTTTGTCTGTCACAGAAAAACTTTATCGCGCGCGTTCCTGTTTCAAAAACCGGGATAAAAACTATCCTTTCTCCTTTCCCGGGACTCAAACTATCTCTATGCCAAGTTTCATCAAAATCGGTTCAGTGGTTTAGGCGTGAAAGCAAGACAGACAGACAGAATTACTTTCGCATTTATAATATTAGTATAGATAATAAGTTAGTTGATTATAAATATTTTGTAACCGTACAGTTATTAGGGTCAAAAAACTAAGAGAAATTATGAAAGTGCAAAAAATTAATGCAATCGAAGTCGCAGATAGGTCTTTGCAGAAAAGTAGCATTTGTACTATACAAAACAGTCACATAAAAGACACACAAAATGGAAACGACCTAATTAGGCGGTCTTATCATAAGAAGCGATCTCTCCCAGACTACACAGGAAGGAAGAATATAAACTCTCAATACCTAGAAACTGTACTTACGAAGTTCTCGCGAACTACTGGCCCAGAAGCTCAGTTTAACTAAGAACTATTGCGAATTAACGAGTTTCCCAGAAATCTGTCCACTAGAATATCATACCTTTTGTGAATTAGTTGCCAAAACGCCCAGTTATAAGCGAAATTATTAATAACAATGAAGAATTATTGGTTTAAGTTCATTTAACAAGTTTCACTAGATTCTTAGAAAACGAATTTTAAATAAGATTTAAACCTTTTTCATAACAAACATTGTTATTAATAAACTTGTTCATAATGAGCTTACGATTAGTTAATTTTTAATTAATTTCATTAAGTTATACTTTGATAATAATTATTGAAATAAAAATGTTATTTAGAAACTTTACTTTGCTCGCATTATATAAACTAATAACTAATCATATTATTCAGAACATAATTATGTAGAAATTATATTATTATTACGAGTATTCGTACAATCATAATCATATCCCTTTGTTCCAATTCCTAGTACTAATAAAACTTCATTAATAACGTTTAATCACAAAACAAATACGTAATACATGCGTTCACTAACTCATTCATAGGTTTCAGTATAAACAATTATACAAGCTCTATAGAACAATTTAACAATACTACTTTATCTTAATTATTTTTAATTCTCGTATTTTTCGCAAAAAAAATATATTGAAAATTTAATTTGCAGGTGCCCATATTTTAAGTTTTAAAGGTTAAGGCTTATTTTCGTGCACCTTTTCAGTTACACAAGCTGTTCAGTTACTTGTGTGTACCTATTTTTCTATGAACGAAGTAAACTATCCACGTGTCCAATTTTGAAACCACGCGCCGCATCGGTGGCATCGTTTTTCATATTTAATTATTTTAGCGAAAAGTTACTCGAACATATTACTCGAATTGAGAACCTTCTCCTTTTTTTGAAGTCGTTAAAAATATTATCATTATGTTTTCTTTACGTAAAAAATTTGGACACTGATTGCAAATTCACCCTGTATTGCTGAACGTTTGAAGTATCGTAATAATAATTGTAGGTTGTTATTAACAACACACCTACGCGAAATACTATTTTCTGGTTCAAACGCTTCCGGGAATTCCATGGCGCACACGAGTTTGCCTCAATCGTGGATATCCAGATATTTGTAGGTTTTGGTATGCAATTTGAAATTCCTTTTTAACCCCGACCCCGACATGTGTATCTACATAGGTTTATCGGTAGCATTGTGGAAACTGAAAAACTACATTTTGTTTGAAAGTTGACTTGATCAAGAATTTTCTTAGTTTACGACAATTTAATCTTCTCCAACTCTTTGCTTTCTATGATACCTTTTTTATATTTTGTGATTTTATGTCGTTTTATTATTATTTCTATTTTTTCACCCTCGCTTCATATGGTTGTAGTGCGTCATTTTTGTGAAATGTTCTCCGTTCTAACTTCTACCTCCTGCCACCTACAGATGCCATATACAGATGGGCACCATGGGAATGAGTCTACCTATTGCTGATGATCAGTGTCAGTCAATTAGTCAAAGTTCGCCGTTCGAGACCTTTTCTTTTCTTGTTTAGTTTATTTGTTGTTGTGTTAATATACAGTTTGATCAATCCGTCTTCTTAAGCCGTTCAGGAATTTGTGATGTTTTTAAAAATACGTTCTGGCTAGCTTAAACCTATGGGTCTACTCAGTAACAGGATTTGTCAATTTTTATACGATCTGTCACTGTCGTACCGTGCTAGAAAACGCATAAAGGAAAAATCCGGAAAGCTTTTAGATGTTTAAACTAGGCGCTGACTACCGATTTTTAGTTGGCCGATAGTTGTGCCTGATTTCGCTATGTCTATCCATCCATATATGTATATGGTCTGCGCCTAGGGCAAGCAGACCATCGATTTTATGTCGGCCGATAGTTTAGTCGGGCAGTTGATCAGTATGGGCATGTATGGAAGTGCGCACATTACGCCGATTTGATTTGGCCGATTCTTCATACAAATTAAAATCGGGTTCAACTATCGGCCGACTAAAAATCGGTGGTCTGCGCCTAGTCTTATAGTTCGAAGTTGCAAGCTCCTGCTCAGAGAGTGAGCAAGTTTGCCACTTCATACATTCCTTCTTAATATACCCGAGTCTTAATAAACACGTATTCTTGCAAACACAATGAATTGTTGACATTTCCTACCACCCACTTTATTTGGATATTTGCTAGTTTCTAAAACCTCTAACTCAAATAAACAAAGCTGAAAGTTGTTTGGCATAAAAGTAATCAGTCACGAGACTAGTTTTCAAACACAAACAAGCAACTCTGGTTCGGGCACACAGAAATAGTTTGTTCCGGCGTTTCTTCTCAGCACTTGCCCTAATAATTATGTATGTCTCGAAGCGCTTTTAGGGCCCAAAAGATAAGGAGACATGTATGCCCCTTAAGGGTTACCTTTTTTTACTGTATTTTGACGTTCATAAGTGCCACTAGTGGTCAAAATTGAATAAATTATTTTTGATTTTGATTTGATTTTGAGTTCAATTTTCAAAGATTTTGTATTATGTTGTGGTTTTAGAGTGGATTGTAAACAAGTGTCATAAAAGAAGTAGGCTACATTTTAGAAGATGTATGCCCGTTTTCACCATCAATCCCTAATTTTTAAGTGACTCCTACAGTAACAAATAACAGGAATTTTGTTTCCATAGGGGTCACTTAAAAATGAAGGATTGATGGTGAAAACGGGTAGTAGGCTACTTTTTAGAATTGTCAAAAAACTACCAAATACAGGGTGTGGTTTTGTACTGGTTTTGTACACTGATGCAAAAAAAAATCCTGGAAAATCCATGAAATCAGGAAAATGGTATTATGACGCGGGCGAGCTATCGGACAGTCTCCCCGCTCTCTCGGGGTGGCGGCCGCATGTGCTCGGTGCTGTAGCGGGGTACGCGGGGGTGGTGCGGGCGGTAAGAAGCGCCGTCACGAAAGTTTTAGGAGACGTTTGAACAAGGTTTTTTTTACTAATAAAGTAATAATTAAAATTTTTGTTTGTATTTTTCTTGTGATTACTTTCATGTGTACTACCACCCCTGTGATGGGCGTTGTTTTACAAAACCACACTCTGTATGTCTCTACTTAAGTTAATCAACTCATTCTATAAATAATTTGTCACTTGAGCTATCGAACAAGTCATGTCGTCATGCCTTTTCAAAATTTATGGATAACGAGTTATGAAAAGACGAAAAACGTCAGTGATCTGATTTACTAACCTATCCTTACAGTCCTATGGTAAGGATCGGGTTGCTATTGGATTGCTGTAACAATAACGAACCTTAGCGAAACCCAAAAACTTTTGTCATTGAGTAAAGAGTAACTAAGTTCCTCTTCGTCCGAGGACTCACTTGCGAACAGACGTGTGTTGCGTTCTCTAAAAATAGTCATAAATTGCTGCGCCAAACAAGTTATTACTGCATCGTGTTAACTACGAATATCCCATACACAAGAAAACACCAAATCTAAGCGATAAATTGGTCACGGCAAGCAGCAGCGAGCGGGGAGACCTCATTCACCTCCGCGAGAACGAAACACTTGCCATTTTTTGTCGCGCTCCAATACCTGTGCTACGGCGGCCGCTTTTTAGCTCCGCCCCCTGCTACGTGCTACGATACTACGACTAAACGCTACGCGCCTGCATTCGTCACCGTGTACGCAATCGCCCGGTCTTCACAGTGCAAAATGGAACCAAAGAGTACTATGAATAAATCACTTTCCGAGTCTAACATCTCCGAACTGACGGACGAAGTGATTACCTGCGCAACGCTGACGGATGAGCTTTCTCCCACGAACTTTGTGAGTCGGCGAGTGAAAAGAAAAGCTACCGACAACCTGGACTGCGAACTTAGCAACTTCAAAGAGGAAATTAGGTCCATGATCTCGATAATGCTGACAGCTCAAGAAAAGCAAATTAATAAAATCACCCCAGTCTTAAATGACATTAAGGAAGCTAACGCTAACATTGAAAAATCAATGGCTTTTCTAGCTTCCCAAAACGAAGAGCTAAAAAAGAAACTAGACGCATACGAACTTCAATCCAAGAAAGATAAAGAATATATAACCATATTGGAAGACAAGGTTGAAGATCTGCAAAGAGAAAATAGAAAATCCAACATACAAATTAAGAACGTCCCGAAAGTTGCTAACGAAAATGAACAGGAACTGATGAACATGGTGGTAAAATTATCGGAGAATGTAGGCCACACCATTACAGGAGCAGATATCAAAGATATCTACAGGCTGAAAAATAAAAAAGTGGAGAACAATGGCCCAATTGTAGTAGAACTATCGTCTACCATCCTAAAGAAGGACTTTTTAAAGTCAGTGAAGACATATAACATTAGGCACAAGGAGAAACTCTGCGCCAGGCACTTGGGTCACACAAAAAATGAGTACACTCCAATATACGTCTCTGAGCAACTGACCGCCAAGGCAGCCCGACTTCACTTTGTCGCTCGAGACCTGATAAAATCGACAGATTACAAATATTGCTGGACGTCCCATGGCCGAGTTTACATCAGAAGGAGTGAAGACACGCCAGTAATCCTGGTGAGAAGTGAACAACAGGTACAAAACCTGTTACTGGCAAAATGACTAAATATAATAACCAACTGGATGTATTCACTTTTATCTATAGTAAGTTTTACTGTTTTGTCCACTGCTCGTACACTAATACAACTCACCTACAATAAATCCTATCTCCTACATGACAACCACCAACATCTTTATCATTACAAAACCACAAAATCAACCTACACAATTTACATGCACATACAAAAAATACTATCTAAACCTACTCTAAGTACACATCATTACACCCAACACTCAAACAGACCACAACAAACAATACCACAGCTACCGTTATGCTATACTTGTAACCTTTGTTTTTACAGCATAGACTCACATTGTTGCAGTTACTTCTTATCGCCCCATAATGCTATCGAATATAAAAATTATAAAACAAAACATGAATATTAACGTTCTTAAAAACATAAATGCATTAGATGACTCTAATATGTATTTAAACTTTAATTGTAAAATCGGAGAACTCAAAAATACTATCACAGTACAAAAAACTGACCTAACATTAATATCCCAAAATATCAGAAGTATCTACGCTAACTTTAACGACTTTCAAGCAAACCTTCGTATTCTTGATCTCACTATTGATATTCTAATCCTAAGCGAATGTAAATTAAACCCTGACAAAAATATCCCACAGATTATAGGTTATAATTCTCATCAAACTTGCAAACACCAAAATCAATCCGACGGAGTAGTCGTCTATACTAAATCCACACTCGCAGCAAACGTATCGGAAGTATACCTAAGACATGCATCATGCTTGCAGATTTCTATGCCTCAGCTGACCATTCTTGGTATCTATCGTTCACCATCTAATCGTAATGCTCAGCTATTTATTGATTCTTTATGTTCTCATCTGGAACTCATTAAAGGATCCAAAAATGTCATCATAACCGGAGACATAAATATAAATCTCATCTACAGGCAAGACGAACACTCCTATGATCGCAGCAATAGACACACTTACCTAGAAATGTTAGCCTCACAGGGTTTCTATCCAGGCCACTCTATCCCGACAAGAGGCTCAAGCTGCCTTGACCATATTATGATAAAACTCGACCATACACACAAAAATGCCACTATTGCTGTACTGGATACCACTGAATGCCGAGTTGTATTTCTAAAACGTGTTCTATTATTTTATACTATTTGGCTGCGACTCGGCGTGACGACAATACAAAACATTTTTCGCGAATCGGTGTTCATACATTCACACAATACATTAGACGCCATGTTGTCATAAACGACATATTATAAAATCGCTGTGATTTAATATTCTTAATCATTAATTTTATGGCAAGTGTCCATCAGGAATCGTTGTTCTTACACACAGAATCGTATTATTTCGCTTTCGGGTAGTAATATGTCAAAATTGTTGGTTCTTTAGGCGAACAATGTATGGAGAACGAACATTGTCCTTTTAATTTTATTTTGTGAAAATTGTAGTGATATAAACTGTTACAGTTTATATTTTCCAAGGAAGTCACGATAATTAAAAACAGGAACATATTATTATTAAGAAGTGGTTATTCTCACGAAATGGCAAAGCTGGGGAACAGCTAGATCGGCTGCGCAGATGCAGCGGCTATCGCTACCAGCCGCATCACGACCGACATTCGTTATAACAGCTTTAATAGAAGATGCCTCCGCCATATTTCATGCATTTTTACAACGATAAGCGGGCGAACTGGGCCAAAAGGTTCTAAAGGCGACGAGTACCGTTTAACACGGTATGGAACTTGACTCAGCTCGTAAAATTTTAATCCCTGAAAGATAGAATCTAGATAGACCTAGGTCTAGAATACAAGGATCGCGATTCCTTATTTAAACTGTTACATGTTCATGATTCACTCACGTAAAGTGAATTATTGGGCTTTTAGAGAGAGTAGGTGATATAAATCTTTAATGCAGACCTTCATAAATAATGTCATGAAAATGTGCAAGATGACATCACTTGGGAAATTGTAAGTCAGCCGAAACATAGTATACAGACGAAATATGATTAGCGCGTGCGTCTGTGGAGCGCGCACCGGCGCGGGCGCATCGCTGACGACTCGGTAATCGAATCATGATCGTTAATCGCACGAGCTCGAATAATCGGGCCGCACCGGGGAGACCGGTCACGAGCGCGCACGAATGCCCAACATCCGAGATTTGAATACTAGATAATTAATATAGCTTTATTAGCGGAGGAAATATCGATTTATGAAGATATTATCCGCTTTGTGCGAGCCGCAGCGCGGATGCCGCGTCAATCAATTACTGTCGGCGCACGCGCACGCTCGCCGCGGACGCGCACTACCGCCATGGCTATTGCTTTCAATAAAAATCAACTCTAAAAATTCTCATATTATCTTAAACTAATGGCAATAACTCTATCTGAAGCGAGACATGGATTTAATCTGAGTCAAATATAACTATCGTTTGGAGTTTGGACTTGTAAACATTAACAAGTTGCCATCACACGCCAGACACCAGTCAAAGGAAGCCCTAAAGCACCAGTTTCGTTACGACAAATGAATGAAAATCTTATAAAAGTGCGTAATTATTGTTGCCAAGAGATGTGCGTGCCGATAGCGCCGCGGTGCACGTCGGCCTCACCAGGTCGTCGGGGACAAGATCGTATCTTGCACTTAATAATATAGCTCAACTACCTTCAAATGCAAAATGCAAGGAAGAATAGCCTTAAGACTTAAAAAGTAAATCAACAACTGACCCACTAGACTATTATCTCTACCTCACGTGTTAAGAGGTTAGAGTCTTTAAAATACTCTACAAACTTCTATGATAGAGCATGACTGTTACCACATAGATAAATACTCTCTAAAACACTGACATACTAAATTTGTGGATCTATTTTTCTTTCTCCTTACTCAATACATACTCAATAGTTTATTGCTTTACCACATTAGCGCATTAGGTCTTACAATTTAAGCAGTTATACAATGTGGACCCAGTTAGGGCACAGTAACTTTTGGAAGGAGGCAGAACGATATTAGCAGTTTGAATACCTTCATAAGTAATCCAAAGTAAGTGTAGAGACATTAAAGAGTTGAGTTAGGTATCGGTTTGAAGTGAATATCAGCGCTATGGCCGGTGGCCTCGGCGTCGGAGTGATGACGCGGGCGACAGGCGCTGCCGCGCGCGTCGATCGTATCACGCTCGCGCCCTGGGACATATTGTGTCCGAAGGCTCCGAACTAAACACTCGATAACTGCATCATCACACAGATTTTACAAATCACATTAAAAATTTTATGTTCCGATTACCGTTTTACGTTCCTGGGCTATTGTCAGGGCCGGATCTACCTATGGGCTGATTGGGCTGCAGCCCAGGGCCCCGGGGCCACAAGGGGCCCCCAGATCCCGCTAAAAAGTAGGCCATAATTTGAAAAAATAAATTGTTGTCCGTAAAGTCGGTTTACGGACGATATTTTTACGTGACAACGTCATAAGAAGTTTCAGCCCAGGGCCCCACAAATTCACGATCCGGCCCTGGCTATTGTTGAAGACATTGTTTACTTTTTTTAATTAAATGTAATTAGTAGGTTTTATGTGTGATACTCGTATAGATAGTGGTTGCGATTGATGCGTGCTCTACCTAAATTCCACAGTCGGCGTGCAAAATCTTGGTTATATGACCAATAATTACAAATGATATGACATACAAACACTAGAAATAATGAGAGAAGTAAAAAATCATTGTCAATTAGTTTGTATTGGTATTAATTAATATTACTAAGTTAATTCATTAAGATAAGGTATTTAGTGCTTCATTACGGTAATTGCTCTAATTTAGGTGTGTTTTGTTTGGCAATTTGTTCTTGTGCCACATGTCAAATGAGTCTTAAAATAGATTTAGAAACGAAGGACCTATATCGAAAGCAAATAATAGCAGCTTTTGAAGTAGCAAGAAACCGAAGCCTGCCCAAAGCTGTACAAAGTCATAGTGTCCGAGCCGCGGCGCTAGACAAAGCGGTGATTGTTCGCGAGCTCGCTTTAATTTGTTATCTTAATTTATTAATCGGATCGGGGTCGTCGCCCTCCGGCCGCCGCGGCCAGCACATTGTTATGCTCAAAACTGGCCCCCGAACGCGGCAGATTGCATTACAATCACCGCTGCTTATCTTTTAACAACAAAGAAAAAATGTACGAACTGTATTCGGTGATCGGAGCCGATTGAGTGTAGAGACCGACTTGTTATAGATGACTACTCGATAACATCGAAAAACTCAATGCAAGTGTTGGTTTTGTTTGCTAATAATTGGGAAAAGGGTAGAGCAACATAATTTAAATGAGAAAGATGTAGCAGTTTTACCTAATAGAAGAATTTAAGACTGTCTCTTAATGCGCATAAGATAAATTAACGGTTTATGAAACAACAATGCAATACTTAAAACTACGGTCGTTTCCTTCACATCTCTATCAGTAAGCGGGCAGTGCAGTGATGAGCTCTCAGTTATGAGATAACATCGCGATGTGCGATGGCGGCGATGGATCAATCGATACTCCTGCGCATTTGCATGTTCCCACGGCCGCGCGCACAATGGCGACTCATTTCAATAAAATAACTTATCCATCCACGATTTAAGTACATGAATCAATCGGACTCATCGTTTTCCAAGTTGTTTTCAATTAGCCATTTAAGTGATAAACAGAGAAATATTTATAGTTAAGCCTTATTCCATAACTTTATTGATCGAAATCTTTTGATTTCGAATAATGAAAAGAGCTTAAACTGGAAATACGGCTTGCACCCTCCAAAGAACGGAATAATCTGACTTGGATAATTCGTCTCGCATTCATCTGATTTTTTTATCAAGAGAGAAGGTTAAACGTCCTACTTTATTAAAAGCTCTTAAAAGCTCCTCATATTTTATAGAGCCAGTTACGATAAATATAATAAACTAGCTTTCCGCCCGCGGTTTCGCGCTCGTGGACTACATTATCTACATATTTTACGAAACCCTATTTTTTTCCAAAATAAAATTTAGCCTATGTTACTCATGG